TTTGATTAATTCAGTGAGCTGATCTGTTATAGACATAAGATTAGGATTTGAATTTTCACCCCTGTTTTATGAATTCTTACTCTTACCAACACAGTCCATTGCTCCAACTCTTGGATTAATAATAGATTGCTTTTTATGTTTTAAAATGTTTACTGGCATTGTGTCCCAGGAAAAAAATTTCAGCTTTCTTCATTTTAAATATTTTTAACTTTAATCTGTAGTGTCTAGTGTTTTGTTAATTATGGCTTCAGTGAGAGTCAGGAATTCATAGAGGATCTCTGTATAAAGCCTTCCAAGGCTCTGTTTTGACAGTTCTGCCTTTGTTAGTAGTGTGCAATTAAAACTTAAGTACCTACCTAGGTGAAATCAAGCAGGTTAAAAAGAAGCAGTTCATTTTGGAGCAATGAAAGTTACAATATGGGTCTCCTGCCATATTTTCCTTTAAACTTTTTTGATGTTTTAATTTAAACATCTCAGAGGAGACAGCTCAGCAGGCCTTGAATCCTTTTAAATGGGATGTTAGGATAGCTTACGTGTACCTTTCCATAGTACTAATATTGCCACTGATTATGCAACATACATTTGAGGTATTTTATATTTCTATGACATCTGATGAGGTAAACAAGAAGATTGTTTTCATTTATTAAAGTCACTAAAATTCAGACTTCATTTACAGTTTGTTTATGATCACTCTCAACCCACTGTGGATCTGCTTTGGGAGCTCAAGTCTTGCTTCTTGTATGCACTCAAAAGATCATTCATCTGTTTAAGGAGGTAGCTAGCTATGGTATAAGCCTGCAAATACATATGTAGTTGGTTTATCTAATTACTTGGATATACAGTGGACCCTCAAGTTAGGACCGGACTGACATTCGAACAACTTGGGTTAGGTTAGTGGACGATTCATCTGCCTCTTACTATCTGTAGCGTGTACCCAGGTAAACATCCACATCTCAGCTGTATTGACTACAACCAAACCTCCCTCAGGAACAGATCCAGTTGGTAAGGAAAGGGACTACTGTACTTGTTTCCTAAAAACAGATCAAATAAAATTTTTATAAAGTTGCCCTTTTCTTGAATAAGTTACCCCACTGTTAAACAGTTTCAAAGTTGAGTTAATCAATATCCTATACTTTTGGTCCCTTAATTCTTTTGATCTTTATGCCATGATATTTCCACATTAGTTAAGACAAGAGTAATAAAACAGAACAAGACTGGAGGGAAAAAATGAGTTGCCTGCCTCCTTGATAATAGATCATTTATCTTCTGTCAGTTGCCTTTTTAAAGGTACTATGAGTCTTTGATTTTTTTTCTCGAATCACTTTTCGAGATCCATGTTTTGTTTATCTTCTTGAATAATTTAATTATTCCCTTAATATTTAATAGGATCATTCATTTTGTCTAGTCTATTGGTTTTAATGCCAGTGCAAGAATTGTAAAGCAGCCTCTAGTCTGAAGCTGGTGATGGTCATATTTGCCTTCTTCCCCTCAACTTTTTTACTTTTTTATTTTTTGGTACTGGGTATCAAACTCAGCAGAACCATTGAGCTAAATCCTTGGCCCATCCCTCATCTTTTTATTGACAGCATAGATGTGTGGGGGATTGGTTCCAGGATCCCTGAGCCCAAAATCCACAGGATGCACAAGTCCTTTGTATAAAATAGCATAGAGATAATAACCTGTATCTTCCTATATACTTTAAATCACCTGTAGGTTACTTGTAATACCTAATGCAGTGTAAATTCTATGGAAGTATACTACACTGTTAAGGGAAAGTATAAATGTTCAGTACAGATGCAGTTTTTTTCCCAGTGTTTCTATCTGCTGTTGGTTGAACCCACGGACACAGGAACCCACAGATACAGAAGCAACTGCTTCATCAGGTACAAGTTGGAGTAATTCCCTTCTAACTCTTTCTCTGGGAATCTGGGATCTGTAAGTATTGAAAGGCAGGGTGTATTTTGTTGATATTCACGATATTCAGACAGTTGGATAATTATATGTTTTTGGATTAGATGAGGCTAAGCCAAAGAAAATGCCAGTTGTTATGAATTGACTAATTAGGTGTCCTTTAAATATAGAGGAAGTTACCAAAAAAAAAAAAATCAGCTGGGGATTTAGCTCAGCGGTTTGGTGGCGTGCCTTTCAAGCGCAAGGACCCAAGTTCAATCCCTGGTA